CTGTAAAGTTGCTGTAAAGTCGGTAGTTGCTGTAAAGTTGCTGTAAAGTCGGTAGTTGCTGTAAAGTTGCTGTAAAGTCGGTAGTTGCTGTAAAGTTGCTGTAAAGTCGGTAGTTGCTGTAAAGTTGCTGTAAAGTCGGTAGTTGCTCCCTTTGACGTTGTGTAATCTGAGATTTCTTAAATAATCTGACATGAATATTCTGGAAGACTGCGCTACAGGAAGTCTTGGCGCAGGACGAAGATGTTTTTGTCTTAGTTTAGTGAAAGTTTTTCCATAAAAATTCAATCGAAACTGTTTTTTCGCATCCCAGGATAAACAGGATGTTACTGCTGGCAGAACCCGTGAAGAAGAAGACGGCAGGAAGTGGTGGGAGGACGCTGAACGACGTTTTTCTTATTTGCTGAACAGTTTTTTTGACATTAGTGAAATATCGTTCCATGGTTTTATTCACGGAAACGCAGCTACCTGATCTGCTGAGTTTCATGCTGTATGAATGAACTGCACTGAACGGATTCTTTCAAAAACACACAACGTTAAATCACTCCAGGATTTTACATCTTGACTTCTCATAAGCGTCTCTTAAACCTTTTTAAATGTCAAATTTAATTGCATTTGATTAAATGAATGTTAACTGCAAACATAAATGAATCGATCTGAGTATGGTCAGATGCATAAATTGTGAATGCTACTGAACAGTTAATTTATTTCAGTAATTTAAAGCACATTTGGTTGACTGCTTGATGTTTTAAAGCTTTTATTTCAGTCAGTTGATGATTTTTTGCTTACAGTTGATGTAAACATGGTATTTCAGATTAAAATCAGAAACGTAAAAAACGTTTTTAAGCATAAATATGAAGCTGAGTGAGAGACTGTGATTGTTAAACGGTATTTTAATGTCTGTCCCGCAGTGAAGACGCAGCGGGTCGGTGAAGACATGAGCCAGAACCGATGGAGTCTCTGAACGCCGTGGAGCTCCGGGAGCTGCAGCGCCGCCGCTCGGCCAGCGGGGGGCGCCGCGCCGCCGGAGGCTTCGAGAACGTCTCCTACCAGCAGGACGACGAGCCGGAACCGGCCCGCGTCTGTCCGTCCAGAACCAGCACGGTGACAGGATTTGTTTTCAGGGCTGCAACGATCAACCGTGATTAATCGGTTATTTAAATAATAGTGAATGATTCGTTAGCAAACTTAGAGAGAACAAACTGAAAGAAAAACACTGAGAAGAAAAAATGTCCAAAAAATCTGAAGCGTTTCTATTAAACAGGAACAATTTTGTCTGTAAATCATTTGTAACTTCATCAAACATCTTTTATGCAGTTATTAATCAGTTAATCAATAACAATCCCCTGATCATCACTTTAACAGAAAGCCTGAGTTTTTCTCATGCTGAAGGATTTTTATCTGCAAATGTACCAATATTTGTATCCCATTAATTGTCAGAATAATCAATAGATGAATTGATAACTAAAATAATCATTAGCTGCAGCCCTAATTTCTGATTTGATATTAAAATTTATATAAATTTTAACACAAACTAATGAGTGATGATGATTTCTGACATGTTGTTCAGCGTCTCACTGAATCAGTTCAGATTTCTTGTTTTTATTTAGTTTTATTATTTTTGGTTTGTTGAATGAACAGGCAGGAAACACTGAAAACTCCAACCCTGACAGGATTTCTGTTAGTGTCTTAGTTCATTTCACATACCACTAACCTCATTAACTTTTTATTAAAAGAGAACTAGAACTTTATTAAATCAATATTAAAGAATTATTGACTAAAAATAAACTCCTGTTTTACTTTTAAGTAATTTTTCTTATTTTAAGTGTAATAAGATGTTTGCACCAGAAACTGAACACTTTTACAGATTTCGTGTTTTGCGGTGTGGACCAACATCCTCGTATGTTTTTGTGTATTTTCTCTTTTTCTTCTTGTTTGTCTCCATCTTTGATCCTTTGTTCCTTATTAAAATATTATTATGCATTTTTAACACTTTTCTTCTCCTGCAGCTGCAGGTTTCTCCAGAGTCGTGTGACGATGAGGACGGCGGCGCCGCCGGAGGAGGAGGTGATGAAGGTGTGGGCCTGGCGGCGCCGGGCCCGGCTGACGGCCGCTCTGCCGACCTGGGCTTCGTGGTGGCGCTGGTTCTGCTGGTGAGCGGCATCGTGCTCGTGGTGGTGGCCTACACCGTCCCCCGAGACGCCGGCGTGGATCCGGACTCTGTGTCGGCGCGGCAGATGGAGAAGCTGGAGCTGCACTACGCCCGGCTGGGCTCGCACCTGGACAGGTGCATCATCGCCGGCCTGGGCCTGCTGACGCTGGGCGGGATGTTCCTGTCCATCCTGCTCATGGTCTCCATCTGCCGAGGCGAGATGTACCGCCGCCGCGCCGCCTTCGTCCGGCCCAAAAGGACCTACGGCTCCATCAACCTGAGGATGAAGCAGCTGGCGACCGGAGAGGCGGACGGAGACGGGGTGGAGCGGGTTCTGGTGGAAAACACACAGCCAGGGTCCAGCCGGGACCAGAACTCAGAACCAGAATCGAGCGGAACGCCGGCTGCTGCTTCAGCTGCATGTGGAGTTTAGTCAGAATTGATCCAGTTGGATCCGGTTCGGTCCAGTTGGATCCCAGCCGTCAGAAACGGGACAATTCTTTCAACCAATCAGACGGCTCTGTGACGTTCGCAGACAGGAAGTGGAGCGGTAAGGTCCGGTGGACGGGAACTCATCTGGACATGATTACAGATCAGAATCTATGAAACAATTCACTGCAAACTAAATTGATCAACCAGTATTTTAGTTTTTAGTGCAAATACTCCAGTTCACTTGAAATAAGACAAACTGTGGTACATTTTAGCTTCAGTTTGTTTTCAGGAAATAATCTTTGAACATTTATTCTAAATACATTTTATCTCCTCCAGCTGATTTCTTTACTTCTATAACTTTTTAATCATTACTAAAGAATTATAGACTTAAAACAAACTTATTGCTGAAGATTTACTTACAAGTTAGGTTTGTATTATTTCCAGTATTTTAAGATATTTGCACTAGAAACTGAACTAAAATACTTGAAAAAAATTTGTGTTTTTGCAGTGTCATAATTCCTGCTATTTGAATCCTATTAAAGCTATAAAAGCACATTATTTAGAAACAAGAAATCATGAATAATGTTTTAGTTTCAGACCAGATAAACTTCAGTCACATTTTAATTATAGACAGAATATACATTTAATTACTATAATAGTTAATAAAATAAAATGGGGCAGAAAGATGTGTTGCTTGTTCTTAAACAGAGGCGACATTTATTTATTTAAGCTTCAGCCATAAAATAAAAATCAGGTAAATATTAATACCACAAACCCAACATGAACCCAGTAAACCATGAAATGTTCAGTTATGATCCACAGCTGAATAAAAATATGGAAATTAGCTTCAAATCTCTTGGAAATGTCAGATTTTTCACAGCCAGCCTGAGGCGTAAGCAAAGACTGTTTCTCACTGTGAGAAAGTTTCCTCCTGGATGCTAACCACTAAGCATTAGCTTCACAATATAACCTGGATGCTAACCGCTAAATGTTAGCTTCACAATACAACCTGGATGCTAACCGCTAAACGTTAGCTTCACAATACAACCTGGATGCTAACCCCTAAACGTTAGCTTCACAATACAACCTGCATGCTAACCCCTAAACGTTAGCTTCACAATACAACCTGGATGCTAACCCCTAAACGTTAGCTTCACAATACAACCTGGATGCTAACACCTAAACGTTAGCTTCACAATATAACCTGGATGCTAACCGCTAAATGTTAGCTTCCCAATATAACCTGGATGCTAACTCTAAACCTTAGCTTCCTAATATAACCTGGATGCTAACCGCTAAGCGTTAGCTTCGTAATATAACCTGGATGCTAACCACTAAACCTTAGCTTCCTAATATAACCTGGATGCTAACCGCGAAGCATTAGCTTCGTAATATAACCTGGATGCTAACCACTAAGCGTTAGCTTCCTAATATAACCTGGATGCTAACCACTAAGCGTTAGCTTCCTAATATAACCTGGATGCTAACCACTAAACATTAGCTTCCTAGTATAACCTGGATGCTAACCGCTAAGCGTTAGCTTCCTAATATACAGACAGATGCAGCTGAGGCTATAAACAGACAGAAAATATAGAAAAGAAAAAAAACTGAATCATTTCCATAAACTGTTGTTTTAAAATGTTTGTAGTTTTTATTTGAAGATGCTCAAATTTAACCATCATTCAAACTAAACCTGCATCTTTGGGCCTTTTTTACTGATATTTTATCATGTTTACATCATAACTTTAAAATAATTCTCAGTTTTTATGTGAACGTTGTTTATTAAACCAAAAAGAAATGAAAAATAAAACAAACATTGAAAGAGTTTCAGATAGAATCTGAGCTTTAATGCAGTTTGATTATTATGAAAATATGAAAGTTTTAAGAAAAACAAAATAAAGAGCCAGAGTGTCGTCATTTTGACAGAAACTGCTTTAACCTTTAATAATGTTTGTTTTTCTGCTGTATTAAATATGAACTGATGGTTTTAATGTCAAAACGCTGCAGTTTGCCTTAACCAGAACACACTGCTGTGTGCAAATATTATGCTAATGTAACCAAGTATGTGTTGAACCAGTTAGCCAAGGGTAATGTAGCCACACACACACACACACACACACACTGTGCTGTAATCTGCACAGTTTTAATTCATAATCAAGTTTAACCTTCATAGCTTAATATCTGGATTAATAAATTGATTAACTGATGGAGGACAGATTATAATTTCTGATTTTCTTTTCCAAATAAGAAATTAGAAATGACAGAAATTAATTTCAGAAATTGGATTATATTTCAGTCGTCTGTTCCTGTGTGCGCAGCGTCGATATTATCGCCGTAATATTAGCAGAATAAAGACAAAAAGTTATTTTTACGAAAAAAGACTGATAATTCAGTTTATGAATTTAATTATTTAAATTAAACTCATTTCAAAGTCTGATAATAATTTGATGCTGATGTTAAAAGACAAAGTATTTCAGTTTAATATGAAATATAATAACTTCATACGATGCTGAACAATCCTCGATTTAACTTTTCAGATCTCACGTTGGAGTAAACGTAAGTTCTCATAAAATTCCATCCATCCATCGAGTGACAGCGTCGCTTTAAGGTAAACATCGTTACTCTACGGTAAACGGCGTCGCTTCACGGTAAACGGCGTCGCTTTACGGTAAACGGCGTCGCTTTACGGTAAACGTCGTCGCTTTACGATAAACGTTGTTCCTTAACGGTA